AACAATTCCTGTAGCTGGCTGTATACCACGTATCACAAAAAAGAGGTTAGTCTTTGTAAGTGGGTATATTTATTTAAAAACCCTTAAAAGGGCTACATAAAAAAAAACAAACGTTTTCGGACTAAACAGTCCATCATCAGGTTTAAAATCTGCTAGGTTAAAATGCCTGAGCCACCAAAAATACATGGGTAAAAACCCTTTAAATTACTTATAATTACTATTTATAACTGGGAATAAGCCACATTAAAGATAAAAATACATTTATTGACGTTTCAATTTCCAATTCGGAAATCGTTCTCAAAATACAAATAGTAAATTTACTATTTGTATTTTGAGAACGATTTCCGAATTGGAAATTGAAACGTCAATAAATGTATTTTTATCTTTAATGTGGCTTATTCCCAGACTATTTGTATTTTGAGAACGATTTCCGAATTGGAAATTGAAACGTCAATAAATGTATTTTTATCTTTAATGTGGCTTATTCCCAGTTATAAATAGTAATTAATTTACAATGCCACAAGAAAATAGCTTCAGAACAAAATTACTTATAGTTATAAAAGATTATACATCTTGTTGTTAAAAAACTGTGATGTTCATTATTAAATTAAATATGACTTCAGGTAACATACATTGCAAAAAATTTTGAGTTCCAGAGCCGGGGAGAAAACCTATACGCACGGAGAACAGCTGGAAACTGTTTATGTGAAATAAATGTTTATTTTTAGTATGTTGTTTTTAAACAACATGATGAAGTGAAGGGTTAATATTTATGGTGAACATATCACGGGGGTGGCTTTAGAAGGACGGGTCGATCGAGTAACGGTGGCTGGTAAAAAAATCTCAAATTTAAGATTTGCTGATGACACTATACTCATAGCAGCAAATAAACAAGAAATGCTAGATCTCTTGCGAATGTTGAGTTGGAAAGCACTAAAGTTGGTCTTAAAATGAATAAAGACAAGACGAAAATATACTGATATACAGGGTAAACACTATTCAGCTGAGTAACCACGTGCAGGAATACCAGATAGTAGACAGCACCAACTATCTCAGAGATTGTGATGGCAACTGGGAAGCAGAAGTTCCGAGACGCATTGGTATGCGTCGCCAAACTGAAATTTGGATTATCTATCAAAAAAATAAGATGAGATTGGTGAATGCACTTGTATTCTCAATATTTCTATACGGGGCAGAAACTTGGGACTCTCGTGAGCAAGAACGCAAAAAAAATTATGCCTTTCAGCTGGGGTATTGGAGAAAAATACTGCGCATGCGCATACGTTGGACAGCTCATCGAACACACGTTTCCATTCTTAAAAAATTTGACATTAAAAACCGGCGCTTGGCACTTCGGAGTACCGACAGAAGTGAATAATTCTATAGAGTGTTATTACTATAATATGCGGGGTAATTAAATGTTATGTCTTTATAATAACACCAGAAGTTTCAAGTTCATAATATAATTATTTTATTAACTGATGCTTTAACACTTTGACTGCCATGAGAAGCATGCCTTGATGCACGGCCAATTTGATTTTGTTGCCGCGAGAATCAGCTTTTGATTCTCGCTAGTATGTTATTTATATGGAATAGAAATATGTCCGGCTGGTAGGACACTCTTTTTTTCACTATGGCGGCAGTCTAAGTGTTAAATAGATTAGTTGTTGTTGCTAAGAACCATTTCCTCAGGTTTTTTAACCATGATATTCTTCTTCTCCCAATTAATCTCTTTAATTTTAATTAATCATCTGACCTTCTCAGAAGAATCACTCCTCTTTCAAACATAACCTCTCGGAGCTAAACGAAAACAAGCCTGCTGCTATATCAGGAATATCTACCGCTTTGCCATTTCCGTCAGTACAAATCGTTTCACTCATCCTAATCTACCAAATATTCTTGAGACTTCAACAGTTTTAAAACAATAATCCTCTCATCAACATACTCAATTTTCATATCCAAGAAAGAGTAAATTAACCAGGATTTCGGTATATTTTCAAGATTTTTTTTACAATCGCAAATAGTCAGCAGAGTCCCTCAATTCAAAAAGCATAAATTACAGCGAAAAATCTTTTGTAATCAATTTTGACATTCAAATTCGTACATTATTATTAAATTATTGATATAAGACAGATGGCACCTCGGTATACTTCTGCTTTAGAATAAATCCTATTCGGACTATGCGTCTTCTTTGGACGAAACTTATTTTACTCAGTAGTCAATATGTGACTTTCAATTAAATACACCATCTCTGAACAAATATTACTACATCTACATTAAGAAATTCTTAGAATCTACATTAGTCATTACTGTACATATACTAAATTATTATTCCAGAGGTCCTTTCAAGTAATCTCCGAGACATAATTAACTATGAAAAGTTTTGAAAAAAATCCCTAAAATATCGAGATAGTAGCCACAAGCGGTAATCTAAAGACACGTGGGCTCTAGGGTGTATATAGTTGAGCTTGTTTTTTCTCTGGCCAGATTCATCGAACCGGGGATGAAAACTGAAGAATAAATTCATTACACATGTTCCATTATGTGTTGGCAAAATCTTGCTGGGCGTGAAATTAATAGAAAAACCGGCTATAAATGTACATTCTTTCAGACGATAATGCCGAAGAAACCTTCAAAATAACCTGCGGTCTACTGAAATCATGGCATCGGGTGACAATTTATTTATTTATTTATTTAGCTTATGGCTACATCACAGGTTCATATGTATACATATAATATAAATTATATAAATTACAAACAACAGTAAATACAAAAATATTATTCTACAAACAAACATCTAGATTATAAATATATTCGATTGACTCTTTTGTAGCAGCCAGGAAATCTGAAGGGTTGCCGTTATAGGATCTAATCGGTGTGTTTTACCTACCTCTACCATGTGTTTTACTGTTTGCCTTTCGGCGCCGCAGTCGCAATTTGGTGATTGTATTTTTCCCCATCTAAAAAGTGAGTCGGAACATCTGCCACAGTTTGTCCTTATTCTATTGAGTGTGGTCCAAATTCGTCTCGGTTGGTTGAAGCCCTCAGGTTTGCTTGTAATACATGGCATGTTCCAGTTAGCTGGTGCAGCGTTATTCTCCCATTGTTCTCTCCACCGTTCAGTTACATTAAAGTTTTGATCTACTAGCCTTTTTGCTGTTTTTAGAGGCGGTGTCTTGAACGGAGCCTATTTATGTATCTGGCGGAAGTTCCGACATGGGAGCGGAGTTTAGGATCAGTATTGATTTTTGTAAATTCTCTGACAAGGGCATGTTCCCGGCGGATGGGTGGTGGAGCTATATGACTCAAAGCTGGTAACCAGTAAGTGGGCGTGGCCTTGATTGTGCCCGATATAGTTCGCATGGCTTGGTTGAGTTGGACATCAACACGGTGAGTATGTGGACTGTTTATCCATACTGGTGCACAGTATTCCGCTACGGGGTATACCAGTCCTAATGCTGTCGATCTAAGTGTGGGTACTGAGGAGCCCCATGTAGTGCCGCAGAGCTTTTGCAGGATGTTGTTACGAGTTCGGAGTTTTGCAGCAGTCTTAGTAAGATGCTCTTTTAAAGTTCAGCGTTCTGTCAAGTGTAACACCTAAGTATTTTGGGTGTTTATTATATTTAAGGAGTCTATCCCCAAAATTGATTTGAGGTTGATAGTTGGCCATCTTGTTGTTCAAATTGAAGCAGGACACTTCTGTCTTAGTTGGATTGGGTTGCAATCTCCATTTGCGGAAATAATTCCCTAGGGCATTTAAATCGTTTGTTACAATGCGTTCAGTGACCTCGAATTCTTTATGACTTGCGGCGAGCGTCCAGTCGTCTGCGTATCCAAACTTTTTTGATGTGGTTTCTGGCATGTGTGCTATGTAGAGGCTGAAAAGCATGGGAGCCAGCACGGATCCTTGTGGAAGTCCATTATTCAGTTTTCTCTGGGTACTAGTCTTGTCTCCCAATATAACTTTAAAGCATCTGTTGGATAGCATGGCGTTAATAACCTCAGTGGTCTTTCTGCATGGGATTATTCGCATTAATTTATATATTGCCCCTTGTCGCCACACAGTGTCATAAGCAGCAGATAGATCGATGAAGACAGCGGTTGTTTTTGATTGCTTTTGAAAGTGTGATTCCACATAATTAGCCAGGGCGAGTACCTGGTCTGTGCAGCTGCGGTTTGGCCGAAATCCTGCCTGTTCGACTGGTAAGTGTTGGAATATGGTTTTGCTGATTCTATTATACAACAGTCTTTCGAACAATTTGTACACCATACTTAAGAGTGCGATGGGGCGGTAGTTTTTCGGTGAATTATTACTTTTCCCTGGTTTTAAAATGGCGACGATTTTTGCATTTTTGAGTTGGTGGGGGACGTTTCCCGTTTGAAGGATGTCAGAAAAGAATTCTGCGAGCCATTGCCTAGTGAATCTGCCGCTATGTTTGAGGAACTCAGCGTGAATGGCGTCGAAACCCGGCGCTTTTCCTGTTTTCATTTCATTTAGGGCTTGCGATATTTCTTCATGTGTAAATGGGTTGGAATATTCTGTTGACTGTGCAAGACTAGATTTTATGGTTTTGAGGTCTTTTTTAACTTTAATTGTATGTAAACGATTTTGAGGTGCCTAGGGGTTGACACTATGTGCGTAGCTATTTGGTCTGGAGTTACTAGGTTGGTTTGGCGAACGGGTGGGTTGCTACTTCCGAGTTTCCGCAGTAGGGACCAAGCTTGTCGACTTGACTTCTGGAAGTCTAAGAAATCGGGTGACAAAAGGTCCTATAAGAAAAATCATCCGTGTTTTCGGACAACCTGGTAAATAGTAATAGAGTGTGAATAGCTATGTATGCCTTCGGTGACTTACAAACCTTCAGGTCAGATACCTACGTATTGGTCGATATGCAAACAAATGTCTATGAGTACTATTAGTATAGAAATAACTATTAACCTTTTCGTTGATTTTATTCTAATGTTCTTACCATTTTTATAAATATTCAGACACTTTCCAGGTTCCCCTAACGACAGTAATTCCCCCGACAGCTATGCCTCCCACAGTAATCCCCCCTACGACGATAGTATGCCTACCGTCAGTCGTGACAAGTGCACCAATTATTAATAATCCAAATAACCCCGCCGCCGCTAACGAGGTGTCGCAGTGCGCAGCCGTACCGAGACCTGGTGCGGTGCAAAGTTCCAGTTCCGTTCCTTATTTAGCCTTAAGTACCAGTCAACCAATTAGAGCCGTTTCTACACATAGCAAAGTTAAACCAAAGAATTCCCAAGGTGGAGGTAATAGGAACAGGTAAGTCATTTTTTGCTTTAAAATAATAATTAGTATATATTCACATATCTAGACGATTCGCTGAGAACTACCTTGTTGCTATTTATCTACACAGAATGCGGTAAATTCATGAAGTAGCCGTCCTCTTGAATTTTTGGCCGAATTGAGCTCCTCGTCATTGCTTTGAATGTGGTTTTGACGTTATATTTTGCTAATTCGATATTAAAATGTGACATCGAATCTTACTTTTATTCTATAAAGTTTAACGAGGTTACTTTAGATTTTCCAGAGAGTCTTAGTTTCTTTGTCTTTAAAACAAGGATATTCATAGTTCTTCACTTGACTATGTTCATTACGAAAATTCGTCCTACCAGGTTCTCCAGAATTAAGTTTTTACTCTCCGCATTCTTTTCTCTAAGTAAAGTAGCTTGCATTTTAATATAAACTAGTGTTCGTTTAGATCCAAATTTTTAATAGAATATTTTTTTCTACAGTACAACAAGAAATTGAAGAGGGTGACGCATATATGTAATAATGATACACGGTGCAAATCAAATACGTCGTTTACTAGTATTAAAATCCAAATAATATCGGTTCACAACATTGTAATAGCTCCCCTTATATTTCAATCAGTAATATGCGGTTGTATACAGTGAGTCAGAGTAACAACAAACATATTCACGATGTGTTTTAGCAAATTAAAATTTTGTCAGCATAAATTATCCGAATTCTTTACTTTCTATCAGTGGCGTTTCATGAAAGTATCTTAACCCTTGACTACAGACATTCCATTATTACCATGTAGAGCCCCGGTATTTTTTACCGGTCATTATAAAATGGAGTCAAATATACAGTCAAACATAAAGTTAATAAAAAAATGGATTATGTATTTTTCTGTAAAATCCACTAGAAACTAAGTTCCTGTAGCTGACTGTATACCATGTATCAGATTTTTTTTTTATTTAAAATCCTTTATAAAAGGTATATAATAAAATACCCGATCGGATAGCCAAGCGGGCTGGGCGGCTGGCTTCTCATTCGCTTCGCTGCGAGAGATGTCAGTTCGATCCCCAGCTCGGTGTACAGAAAACAAAAAGGCTAACGCAGCAGTTTAAAATTCTAAATGAATCTGCGGCTTAGTCTAGAATATGCTGGTATCTGATCGGCCTATGGTGGACCAGTACGGCAAGAGATAAGGCCTTGCGGCTCGGTGATACTGCTCCATAGATCCTTACCGGAAGGGCGTGTGCCGCCTAAATACCGGGTATATGTATGTATAAAATACCCAAACGGGCTATATCACAATTACAGAACGTTTTCGGAATGAAAATTTCATCATCAGTGTAACTAAGTATACATGTTCTGAGCCACCAAAATATATGGGTAAAAACTCCTTAAATGTTGTTAGTTTAAATTTATGTTACATTATATGTTCTTAAAACTTAAGATGTTTATCTTAAAGATATCTATGTTTAAGATAATAAACTTTTTTCTTTACTTTACTTAATTTATAAATGTTGTGACACTTATCTATGACGTGGAATGTATAGTGCAAATCGTCTTACTTAATCGTCAACTTAATACTTTGTCTTACCTGACAATAAAAATCAAATTAACAGTAAAATTACACTACAGTTTTTAAATAAAATGACTAATTATTCAATGATATGTGTTGGTTTGAGAAATTAATTCAGACTAATATCAATAATAATAATAGTTAAAGATCCTCAAGTCCAAAATGACAAATGCCGATATGGATGCCAAGCCCAAGAAACCATCCAACATCTTACCGGTGTCTGCCAGGTGTTTGTCGGTACTGACTATAAAGAACGGCATGACTCAGTGGGAAAGATTATCCACCAATAACTAGCTGACAAACTAGGACTTCTCCAAACCGACCATCTCCCTTATTATCAATACGTCCCTGACATAATGCTTGAAAATGATAACTGCAAACTAGATTGGGACCGCAGTGTGCTCACAGATAAACCAGTGGCACATAACAGACCGGATCTTATACTAGTTAACAAACTTACTAGGCAAACAACATTATTGATGTGACCATACCCAACACCAATAATTTACGTGTTAAATACAACGAAAAGATCGCCAAGTATAGAGATCTAGAAATTCACATCAGGAGACAATGGAGAATGGAAAGTCTCAGACAGTACCTACTATTTCATCTACTACTGTTGTTATTCCCAAAAACCTAATAGAGAACATAAAACAGCTGGGTCTAAATGAACATCTCTATAAGGCCATGCAGAAAGCTGTACTCGCGATGTCCAGATGTGTACGAAAATTTTTGGAATATACTCAGACATTTAGTCACCTAGGGCTCGATAACACGGAAGGAGTCCCACCAGTGTTAGGTATCTGGGATGAGGGAATGTGAGCCGTATGGCTAAATCTGGATAATAATAATAATTAAATCAGAAATAAAAACGCCATTGGAATTGTGGAATATCCCAACAGTTGACGGTCGTCTTGGCAATGAGTCACCCCGTTCAATATATTCTTGGACCAATAGTAAACTATGTGAATCATATAAATGAAAGTTTATATTATGATTGACATAGATGATGATTATTTTATTTATAGTTTCGTTGTTAGTTATTTATCTGTAATCCTATATTGCCAATCATAAACAATAATTCATAATTCATTCTACTGATTAGGCATTAAAAATGTGAATGGTGCAACTCATAATGATAAAATCAGTGATTCATACTAGTATCACCTACATAATGTTAAAAAAACTGATCACCTTAACAAAACAAGAAATAAAAGTTCATATTGTAAATTAATTTTTTTTATTAAAAAAATATTTAGTTCTGGATTAGGGTCTCTGAACATTTCTTTTATGAATCCTATATTATATGTACACTTAAATCTACTATCTACTAAATTTGTTTTTGTTAAATTTCAGAAATACAGTATTAGACCAGGCGATATCTGTTCTAAAACACCCTCAATTGGGTAAATTTTATAAGATCCTATTTTTTCCTTTAATCGCTCCAAAATATTATTAGAAATGATAATTTTACTATGAGGACACCTCAAAAGGTGGGCTAAATTTTTATTAAAAAATTTGTGAAGAAAATTAGAAAAATTCAATTTTTTGTCTTCTTTTCTTTGCTTTATCTAGACAACTATGCATTTTAGAAAGAATTTGTGATGATAAAACACTTTTGTAATTATATTTTCTACAAGGTATAATTGATTCCAAATTGAAAAAATCATAATTATTGCTAAATCAGCAAAAATCTTTAAAAAAACGGTCAAAAATCATTTAAATCCCGGATCTATCATTCAAGCAAGCAAGCAATAGTTTAATCTAGCCTGAGAGAATTGCACTATGAAATAGGATGATACAATTCATTAGAGCGAAGACGATTATCTCGTGTAATCAGTAATCACTCCGCCCCGTCCCAATGCTTCAGACCATCCACTTCTCCCCGATAGCGCTCTAATGCGCTATAGAGGCTCTGTTATCACCAAAGTGCTTGTCGTGTCCGATTCCTGGTACAAGGTCCTAGGTGCAGGGTCCTGGGTACACGAAATCTTACCTCGAACAATGCAGGTCAGTATAAGGCGCTCTATTCCCGCTATACCTAGTGACTCTAGTGATCGGTCTGTATTGCTTGCTCGGGTCCCGAGTCCCCTCTCTAGGCTACACCCAGTTCGGTGACTCGGTGCTTGAGGATCTTCCTCTTCCCTCTTCCCCGTTTTTTTTTTTGGTTTTGCTACTATTTTTGTGGTTTGCGCCTTTTGTTTTATTAATTTTTTTGGTAGGCGAAGCCGTTTTATGGTTTTTTGTACATTTTTTGGGAGCTGTCTGAAACATATGAAGAGTCGGCGGAAAAAACGATGAAACTCCACTTTTAGGCGAAAATGAGTTCAACAACAGAAATATAGGTTTTGTGAGCCGGACTCATTGGTATACTTTGCAGTGAGAAAAATGCTTAGACTCTCTACATATCTACCGTAGAATAGGCTCTCGGTGGGGAAATAATGGTGAGGTTCCTGCGCCGGCGCGAATAATGATGAAGTTCCAATATTCCCGGTAATTGCCGACATTATATTGGTCACCGCGTCAGTCAACTTGTGATGTTTATTACTGTGGTTTATTATTAGATTTACAGAAATACTTATCGGAACGGTACACTTGATTTTGACAAAAATAAAGACTAGAACATTAAGGTTGTTTGTGTCATATTGTACTGAATAATTATTAAGCCTCGTTAAAACGATGAAATGAAAGAGACAACCAAAAAAGACAATCGTACAAGAGACGTAGAGCAAAAAATCTAAAGTCTGAGATAAAAAAATTCAATGACGACTTATATACATTCAGAGTAAGGTGTATTGATTTAAAGTGACGACCAAACACTGTTAGATATCCAGGTTTGCTGCAAAGCTTTTCTCGCATTGGATGGGATTTCTGGAAGTTTCTGGTAGTTTAATATAAAATTCAATGGTCACTTAAGTGTTTTGGTAGCTCAGCAAAAGATAAAAGAGGTTTACACAAAAATAAGCCACACAAAATTTCAAAATTTATACTTGACGTGTGTGAACACATATTGCTACCTACATTCCAATACCACGTATGAGTAAATGTGACGTTTTTAGAGAGCGAAAAAACTGATTTTTTTCCTTTGTGGCATACATTCTAAATAGTTTTATTGCATATTCATTTATAACATATTTGCTTCTTATTGTTTGCAATAATAAAATTCCTAAAGATAAGCTTTGGTGTGTTTTAGGGCACCTACGCGGTATTAAAATTATAATTTGATTTGATACGTGGTATTTTAGGTTTGTTACGCCCATCGAGCAAAAAGACAAAAGAGGGAATGTAAAGGTAGTGGGGGCAAAAATATTGTTAGACAGGAAGTGCGATCTTTAGAGGCCACATTAAACAAGGAAAGAGAGTCTCTCTCCTTGTTTGACATCAAATTTAGTGGTTATGTTATTGTTTGTCCCAAATGTCACATAAAATCTTATTTATATTGAGG